AACGAAACGTAATAGTCCCAAACGAGGTTTAACGCGCCGTGAATAATACGCGGGAAAGGGAGGGCCAGCGCCCGGAGGGTTGGTTCGGTCGATCCGGGGGGGGCGTCGCGTTGCCCCGAGGTGCGACTCGTCCATACCTGTGCGTTTAAATACGTGTCGGGGAATACCCGGCGCGCCTGTACAAATGCGCCCCAACGGTGCGTGCACGAAAGCGTACGCGCGCGTTCCGCGGGAAGAACGGACCGACGAAGACGAAAGATCGACGGAACGAACCGGGACGACAGAGAGGTTCAATTAGACAGGGGGAACCGACCGGAACACGGACTCGAGCGAGAGAGAGAAACGCACGGGGAGAATTGCGTTCCGCCGTTCTACGGGTATTATTAAACGAAATATTGATTCAACCCCTGTTTACCGAGTAATACATATTCATGGGGGTTGGCGCTTGTGTCTATTTGCCGTCGTCCTCCCCTTTAGCCTTTAGTCCCCTCCCCCTTCCTGCTTCTCTCTCCCTCTCGATCTCTTTGTCCCCCTGTCCTACTCCGTTTAGTGTTTCGACCCTACGAGAACTGGAACCCCCCTCCCTGCCTTTCCATTCGAGCAAGTACGGAGGCGAGGAGTCACGGTGCATGTGCACGTGTCGCACACTCCCCAGGCTTCACCTTGTACCCTACTATTCGCCGCGGAGTGCACGCACTGATTATATCCCCGCATGCCGATGACGCGTATTACGCAACTGGAGATTGCGGTTCGTGTCGCGACCTCGATCGGACGATTTGTAGCGGTCAGGACTGGCTGCGCTTGTTGAGTCGGGGACACGTGACTCCGGGGCAGTCGGTTTTTGTTTACGAGGAGAGGTCCCGAGGCCTGACGCTCACTTTTTTACGAGGTTTCGGTCAATGATAGATATTAAGATACTGAATCGAGTGGTATCCGGTTTTGAGCGTAGACGACTTATACTTCTTGAGATATTTAACATTAAAGTTATTGCAAGTACTTATCTACGGAAGTAGAATTGCGTTCACCAGTAGCCAGTGTGGTGGCTAATATGGTTGATAAGGTGTCACGACAAGCTTCTTTTGTCTCAGGTTCCAATCAGGTTCGAAGTTCACGTCCAAAAATACGGACGGTTTAGCGGAAAATCAAGCAAATTGGTACAGTGGTGTTTGGTTTATTCGGCAACCCATTTGTCCGTATAACTATAATAATAGAAGGTGTCAAATCGTTCTAAAAAAAATTATTTTCAGCTAGGGGGGTAAATTACAATTATTTTTGGTAAACAGACATTCCCTCAAAATCCCACTCAGTTTCGAGAAAAAAATTCGAGTAGGTGCCGAAATTTTTCGGCGAAATTAAAAAGTTTCAAATTATCCTGAAAAAATTATCTTTAACTAGAGGAGTAAATTAAAATTATTTTTGGTGAATAAACATACCCTCGAAATCCTAACCATTTTCGAGAAAAAAACTCTTTACCGAAAATACAATGTCTGACCATAACTGAAATTTCAGGCGTATGTTTAAAAAATCATAACTCCTGAACGGATTGGAGGATTTCAATGTTTCGAAATGCAAACAACGCGTATTTTGGCGAAGAATATGTACAAATTCTAAGAATGTTCGAGAAGCTGTTTCTGAACCCCGTAATGTGAGAAAAACCCCACGAAGATGGTCCAATTTTCAAACGTTCATAACTCCTACAATAATGAACGTATCTCGTTGAAATTTATTTGTGAAATAGAACCCATGGATACCTACAAAAGAGTGTTAAAAGTACAGTGAACCTCATAGTCACGGTAAGATAAGTTTCCTATAACCATAACTCGAGAATCGAGGCAACGCAGGGAATTTTTTAGCGTTTACAGTGGCTCGGGACCGCCTTGTTCCCAGTTGTACCGCGTTTCTTGACCCGACCCGTATAAAGTAAGAGACGCAGAAGGTGCCGTGACGTCCGATTATTTAATGGAAGTAACTGTACGTGCAAGAAGAATAATTCAAGCACGCCTACGGGCCCCAACGACGAGCATCGTACATTTGTTTAACCCGCGGTATCGACGGCCAAGGAATTATTCAAGTCGTGCGCGCGAGGACCAACTCGGAACTCAATTATACGCGCCGCGACGGTCGACTGCCAATTTCAACCTCGCCGTTACTAACGTCGCGGGGCACCGCGATGCCTATGAGTATGGGATAAACGTTTTCCAGCGGAAGTCCGTCGCAAAGGACGCCCGGCCAATGAAAAGAAAGGATGCGTTCCTGCGGCGTTTCGCGACGACGCAACCACGGTCGACGTCCGTTTTGGAAGTCTGTTATGTAAATCGGTGGCTCGCTCATCGACTGGATAAACGGACGAAATTATAATATTAACACAGACAGCTATATACACCCCTGGACGAAAAGATACGCGAAGCCTGAATTTAAGTTGTGTCATCCAATTTCGTGAATTATTTAACGCTAGAACTACCGACAATTACAGTGTGTTTATTTGTACCAAAGAAATTGAAACGATAGATACGCGTAGAAATATATAATGCAATGGAAATAAATGTCAACATATTCTCTTATAGAAAATTACGATAAATTTTTTACAAGTTTTATTAGAAGTTACGAATGGGTCATTTTGACTGGTTTGGTAGTTCTAGTGTTAAGCATTTGAAACCTCCACATAAGGTTTATTTCAGCTATACAGTTATTTATAATGATTATACAATACTTAAATTATGGTTGAGACTAAGTTATCTTACATTAAATTTTAAGATTACAGTTTTTAAAAAAGGTGAAAATACTTGAACAGGCTGGTACGTTTGGTTCTGTGATTAGTAAATCTATACTTAAGGGTAGATATAGGTTGATTTTTTGATCTTACTAATTTAGATTGTTGAGAGTTATAAAGATTGCGTTGCCATACAATGTGGTTTGCATTTTGAACTATGTTTCCACATTTACATTTTGGATCGTTAGTAATACCTATGCGGGGAAAAGAGGCTAAGTTGTAACCATTAACTCTGATGCGATTTATAATGAATACTAGTTCACGAGCCCCTTGTGCAACGTTGTCTATTACGTGATAATTTGGTAAAAACGTAGTCTTTGTCGGTGTACACTAGATTTACGGGCATTGTGATCGCACGTATATTTATTGATACCTTTCATGTTGACGAATACCTTAAAATACGATTTTTCTTTTAATTAGAATATGTAAATTCAACATAAGTTGTTAAAAAATAATATTTACGTATTCTGCAATTTTAAACATGGAATCTGACATCCGTCAAATTGGCGGCTTTCGTAAATCTAGTGTTAAACAACTGTTGTACAGTTCTATAATGAGAACTATATTTTCACCAACGTATCGTGTGACAAAAGTTTCAAAACTTGGCGTTCCAAGAAAACTCGCGTCTGCCATAACGTACATAAATTCAAACGAGACCACCCCGCGTGCCCCTACGAAAGATTTATAAAGTTATTGAAACTTATTTAGAACACCGTGGCGTTCTCTAGATCCCCGGACTATTGTACTCGCGAGATTTTGAAACTGGCATTCTTCGCTGGCAAACGACTCATAACGTTTCCGTTAACGAAGACTCGCAGTATCACGATGCAAACCGCGAGATAAACTGGCGAACAGTAATTAAACTTGTGCTCGTTTATCCCGGAACTGCTTCGGTAAAACAGCTCAGCGTACGAAGAATCTGTACAATAACACAGACAGGGTAATTTAACATCATCGCAATCTTCTGAATCTTACCATATTTTTCATTCTTTTTATCGACAATTCTACTTTTTAACACTATTCCTACCGACACTTCGCGTATACCTATTCCTACCGCGACCGGTCAAACGACCGGTTATTCAGCACAACTTATATTTTTTAATATAGAACGAAGATAATAGCCAATTTTACAGTATAAAAATATAGTTTCTTTTATTCATGTTGGAAATCTTATAAATACAATGCAAAACTGAAACGACTAATGTTAAATAGGCGTTATTGTACCTGTGGATGTATAAAAGAATTCAATCGATAGATTCAGGAATATCCAGAATCTAGATACGTATATGTTTAAAAACAACAGACAGCGTCCTAACAACTGCTACAGCGAGGCGTGATTACTAATAAATGTTTATCATTATACGAATGTCGTATTGAATATATCCCGTAATATCCAATAATTCAGATAAAATAAGAGTAGAATAATGATAGAATAAAAATATAAAATAAAAAATGACTGCCGAATATGCTCCAGGCAACTTTCACGTTTTGATGCTCTCTGTTCGAATCGCAAGACTTTACTGATCTGAATTCGTGAGGAGTCGTCTAGGCACCACCTTCGATTATCATTTTATTTATTTTACAGTTATAATAGATAAGATGGTGTAAGAAAATCCGAGGTTTTGGACCACTTTAGATAAACACCGTTAGGCCGATAGGCGAGTGAGAATCATAAACACTTGGAAGTGCCTAAGCAGTCTCTGGAAGGCACTTTTCAATTAAAATCATGCCACAACTGCATTATCTTTCTTCGAGTCCTCGAGATAATACTGTTACAAAAAGGTATAAATCGTTCAACCGGTAAAATGACCGGTCGTAGTAGGTAAGACTACAAACTTTTCTCTGAAAATAGACAATAAGAAAGGAAGTGAATATTGAAAAAAGTATTGTAGGTATATTTTAGGAAAAGTCGTGAAGTTTAAAGGTGATGCAATTACGTTGTATATAGGAAATTTTAAAAACGGCCATTTGACCGATCGTGGTAGGAATAGTGTTAATGAATCGTTTTCCCCTGTTACTGGAGAAATTTGCAAAAGTGGTCAAACTTCGAAAGTTCATCGTTCGAATCAAAATTTTTCGAAATAATATTCACGTCTGTTGTTTTCGCGGTTGAACGCTGGCAAGGTGGACAATAAGAAAACAAAGCTCGAGCTACGAACGATCTAGAGGTACGTAGAGTCGATCGACGCTCCGGAAATCCCAGGGAATCGATTAAAAAATGTGCGCTTACCCCTATTATGGAATTCAGCTCCGACATCGTGACCTGTTTCGCTCTGTCGACAGCGGAGGCGACCTGCTGCTGGTGTTCCTGCGAGAGAAACGGCAGTATCTGCCCGATGATGGCGTTCAGTCTCTTCGATATTTCGGCCTGAGGGAAGAAACAACAATCAGCCTGATCAGTATCCGCCGCGGGACACGCGGTACGAACAAAAGAACGGTCGCAGTTGCTCTCCGTTTCGCTTCTAAACGCAGTGGGTGATCGCTCGACGCGTGAGAGCTGCGTAGTAAAACGTCCCGGTAACAAAGTGCATAACAGAGGGAACGAGCTTTTTATTTCGTTTTTCAGCCGCGCACATGCCTACCAGCTGCCCGAGATCGAAAATATTTTCGGCCCCTTTCCGTGAGCGAAATATTTAAGCACGGACACTTTTAAGAGACGGCCCGGTTAAAATTAGTCCGGACAAAAAACAGAATGCACGACCGTCGATGTTACCTTTGAACTTATTTTTATTTACCCGTGGCGAGTTTGTATCCTTCGACCCGATGGTCGACGAACATTTAAGCGAACCGCGGACGATACTAAATTATCATAATTCTTCGAAAATTGCCGACGAACGACGCACTCGATATACAGGGTGCCCCAGCATCGGTGGTACAACCGCAGAGGAGGTGATTCTACATGAAAAGACAAATTGAAAATAAAGAATGAAATTATTTCATTTGAGATTTCATTGTCCAGATTCATCATTGCTCATAATTACTGAACAAATTGACTTGAAGGGAAAATTTTTGGACGTATTCATTTAACATCTATTTTAGTCTATTACATGATAGAAGCAATAATATACAGGGTGTCCCAGCATCGGTGGTACAACCGCAGAGGAGGTGATTCTACATGAAAAGACAAATTGAAAATAAAGAATGAAATTATTTCATTTGAGATTTCATTGTCCAGATTCATCATTGCTCATAATTACTGAACAAATTGACTTGAAGGGAAAATTTTTGGACGTATTCATTTAACATCTATTTTAGTCTATTACATGATAGAAGCAATAATATACAGGGTGTCCCAGCATCGATGGTACAACTGCAGAGGAGGTGATTATACATGAACAGACAAATTGAAAATAAAGAATAAAATTATTTCATTTGAGATTTCATTGTCCAGAAAATCCACTGTGAATATTCACCGAGCACGCGTGCTATTAACTATGGCTTAGATAAATAGATGTTGATACAAGCTTTTATTATGTTTTTTGTACTTCTTTACACTCATGTTGACATAATTTCCTGAGTACGTATCATCATTTTATTTGTCTAATCATGGTCCCCATATTTAACACTCCTTGATTTGTATCTATGGGGTCATGTTAAAACAAACGAGCATAAGAAGAATATTTTATGCACTCCTCAATTACAAGCGAGAATCATTTGGCATTTGAAGAATTAAAGATACAGAATAAATTAGAATCCATTAGTTCACACAACTCTAATTGAGAAAATTGTATATGTAGCACAATGAGCAATTTTTAACAATTTTTGTATGTATTAAGTTACTTTAATAAGTAAATTGCATGCCTTATTTTCACTTAAATCTACTTTAAATCCATAAACAGAGGTAATACATCATGTTGATACTAATGATATTGGTGCTATTTGTATCGAGATCAATTCACAAGTGATTTTCTCAACAACGAAACCTTAAATGAAAGAATTTTATTCTTTACTTTCGATTTATTTCTTCATCTAGAATCACCCTCTTCCCGCTTGTACCACCGATGCTGGGACACCCTGTATTACAGTTCGAAACAATATTTTCGAATCGGTTTCTCGTCGGATGAATTTTGGTGTTTACGTTGAAATTAAAGTAAACGGAAATCCAACGTTTCGGTAACGGTAAAAAAATACAAGGGGAATTGTTTATTTGAACGGAAACAGCGGGACGGAAAACTTTCTGTTATATGGAGACAGCGTTGTAAAAATAAGACGGTAAATTAAATGAAGCAACTTAAGCTTACACCGATAATATTATCTAACTTAATTTATAATCTTTGGCAATCGTGCGTATATTTTTTTGGTGTTGCGCCAAATTTTTAAATAGACGAAAGTCTTGTAATATATTTAAAAAACAAAACGTTTAGACTGTCCGTTTTCCCCGTTATATTTTCCATCCCTTAAGCGTTAATAATTGTGAATCGTCGGAAACGGACCAATTACGTGGCAAGCGCGTTTCCCGGGATTAAATCCTTTCGAGTTTAACTCGATGTTAGTTGCTTAAACTCTTTGATGAAGCGTTCTTATCAAAGTCTGTCGTAATCAAGAGGCGGTTACGACTGGGTAAGGCAGCGTTTCCTGAACCAAGTTCCTACGGATTCTTACAGTGCACGCTACACCAAATTTTCGCCGGCTATTTCGGAAACACTCCGTGTATAAAAAGAAACGCAGAACAACCCGGCGGGCCCGCGAATCGAGATCCCGCTTTTGTTAATGCGAATACCTTTCCGCGCGAGGCAACATCCGCCAAACGGATCGCGGTAGCAAAAATACTGTCTGCCGTCGGCGCAAAATACACAAACGCGGCATCCGTGTATCCTCGGACGAGAAACCTCTGTATTTCTAGCCAGCGTGCTCTCGTCAACGAGGCGCGTCTCTATTTTTGTCGCACCTCGTAAGAATTCGGGGCCTCCGCGAGAATTAAGCGACGCGAGAGGACATAAGGTGGATGATTAACGAGACACGGAGGATAAAGCCGCCGCGCGACCGCGATTCACAGATTTAACGAGCGATCTCGAGACAGTTCCCCCCTCCTCTGCTATTAAGGTTACCATCCAAGAGAATCGTAAGAAGAGATGAGGATCGATCATAACACCAGTCAAAAAGCATTTTCTATCATTCGTTGAATCAATTTTTAATTAATACTGCCATTGAAAGTTTCGTCCGAAAACACTAAAAATGCTGCTGGTAAGATTTATGTGTACGAAATTCGATTCCGTTCGAACGTTATTGTATTACATATTTGTAACCACGTGGTTCGGTTAAATTGATGTCGCTGTTTGTTGTTTGTGGCGTTGTCCATTTTAATAAACTTTCCGCTTTCGATGTATTCGATAACCGCCGTCATTTGTGTAAATACTGTAAACATATCGAATGTACGTATATAATAGTAATTTTAATTGACAAATCTGGTCATCTAGTGCCGGTATTCGTCGGTTCGGCTATTGATATTTTTCAACGTATTGTTGTTGGATACGGTCCTCAAAGTTGTACGGTAGTGAACAATTTGTTCATTTTTGTGTACAATGCATCGAGCGAAATCGAATCGAAAATTGGAGGTGTGAAATATTTTGACGGAAATAAAAAATTTCAAATCGTTCTGGAAAAATTATTTTCGGTTGCGAGGGTCAATTACAATCATTTTTGGTCTTTACACATACCCCCGAAATCCTACGTACTTTCGAGAACAAAATTCAAAACCGAAAATCTAATTAGGTACCTAAATTTTTCGACGAAGAAAAAATTTCAAATCGTTCTGGAAAAATTATTTTCGGCTGCGGGGGTCAATTACAATCATTTTTGGTGAATAGACATACCCCTGAAATCCTGCACATTTTCGAGAAAAAAATTCAGTACGGGCGAAACTTTAATCGTTAATAACTTTTTAACGAAGCCTCCATCAACAAATTGGTATTCTTAATTTTCGTCTTATTTTGGCCTCTAGAACCACCCATTAAAATTTTTCCCACGGATGGCCGAACACTCTGTACATGATTCCTCATAAAAAAACAAGTCAAAAAGAAAGAGTACAAATTTTTCATACGAAGCTTCGTTTTTGAGAAAATTGAGTTCGAAAACGTATGGAGTCGCGTGTAACAGGCTCCAGAACTGGACATCAGTAGAAGTTGAAACAGTAAATAATGAACGCTAGTCAAATCGTACGCAATAGCACAGGCATACAAGTCTCCGAATATCATTAGGTATCTACGAAACGAAATAGACATAAGAAAAAATTTTTTTTTCTCCATTTTCATCTTTCATGAGGAATCACTCCCTCGTCGGTTATTACATATATTTTAAACCAGAATTAAGCAGCTAGTAGCAGTAAACTTCATTTCTAAAATAGAATTAAGACTTTACTCTTTCTAACGAACAAGTAAAACGATCACTCTATTGTGTTGAATTCATCTCAGAATAAAAAGGGGAATAGAGTCGAGTGGTATCGAAGTCTAATTTGACAAAACTCAAGCTCACTCAATTTCATTTACCATTTAATTTAAAAACACAATACACTCGTACACGACGATTTTAATGTCCATTAATTTCGAGGCTAACCGAAGTTAAATATCGGTATAAATTCCTTTTCGTTGAATATTCGTCTGAGATGACTTTTTTTATCCCGCGTTTGGCGCGCAACTGTCCCACAATGGCGGATTTTCGAGGGAATCGCGCGCGTCTGGCTACCGGTTTATCGAACGAGACGACTTCTCGGAACAACGTCGAAAGTGCAGGCCCTCGTGCTTGTGGATTTTCTCGGAGCCCCGTTCCGTGTCGCCGAGTCATCGCGGCAAATGTTTATTCGGCCGTGTACACGGGACAAACTTATCCCGCTTAATGACTTCGGCAAACACGCGACATTAACCAACGCGCGTCTCGCGACGAGCCCGGGAAAGAATGCTGCGCGACTGAGAAAACACACGGGGAGAAAAAGGAACGGAGATACGGGGAGGAAGGGGAGAGTTTCCAAAGGCGAAATTGGCGCACGTGGATCGGACGAACAATGTTGCGTGTCGAGGAGACAGCTGCAACGCGTTCTCAGGGCGGAGTAGCAGGCTAAAAGGACGGTCTGAAACTTACCTGTTTGTGCATCTCCACGTTTAGGCCGTACGACATCTCGTAGTACTGCAACAGAGAAAACGAGACTCGTTAGAGCGAAATTGTACGAGTTTATAACTGCGAATCGCAGTCTCGATGTGCTATCTATACGTACAAGTAAATCTGTGAGGATACGTAATTTTTTAATTTTGTTTTACCGCGAATCTTCGATAGTTTTTGGGTGTGTTTGCTAGAATGGTCCATAAGTATTATTTTTCAACTGGTTATACTTATTGTACTTATGGGAGAACCTGGAAATTCTTGTATTCTATATTACTCTTAATGAACCGTACAAAAAACGAGAAATAACTTCTAAAGCTATCGTGTATTTTTAAATATAAAAATATTAATCCCAAAACAACGCGAGCCTGGGTTAAGTAATCACACTTCGGCTTGCAGTATGCGTTGCAAGACCGACTCGTTACTTTGACGAATGAGTTCGTTGCATGTCGATGCTTGGAATTAAAAAAATGTTACGCGAACGTAGATTGTCCAAGCTTTACTCCCGGAGTTATGACGAATTAGAGGAAACGGTTGAAACGCCATACGTTGGACGTATGTCCGTCGTTACAGCGTTAGTGTACCTTGCCATTTCACCACTTTACCACTTCAGAAAGGATAGATGCAGTGAGTCGCGAAATTCCAATACTTAGCTTCCGAGATAGCGCGAGAGAAATTACTTATTTATGCGTTATTAACAGATGGGACGCTGTTAGGTACGAGTGCAGGAGGGAAATAACTGTGCTAAAATGGAGAATAAACGTTTCTCATGGTATTAATTTGTAAATATGGAGCCTATGTACGTACAACAAGGTTGCTCTCAAATAGCATTACTGACGAGACAGGCGATAAATATATTATCTCTTTTCTCATGGATCTCCATCGCCATTTTTTAGCATTTTGTGATGTCCATAAATTTTAGACAAAAATGATACAAAATAATAACTTCTATACATGGTTCGCAAATGCTGTTGTTGAATCGTTGCTTTAATATTAACTCACGTATCTTGATACAATACCAACAGGAAACGAGCATACTCGTTTCACGACAAATGTGTGTTTTTCTAGTAATTACTCCGAAAACGGTATTATTTATGACAGTGGTGCATTTTTACATTTATTCAACGCATTCTAACATATATTTATTAGTGTTTTTCTGACTGTTGAATACGTCATAGTAGTCTAAATACATCATCCGTCGTATAGGAAAGTTTTAACAAAAATGCCCCGTCGTTAATGCGTTAATTTACAGAATGCTCGTGACAAAAACCGACACACTTCAGTAACAAGTTACGTACGAGTAAATTTCCGAACTAACGCGAATTTTAACGTGCGTTTAATCGCCAGGTAGGAGACAGTAAGCGTGCAACGATGGACTACGATGACCGTTAGTTTCGTACGCGTGGAAAAACCGATTACGGTTTATCCCAATTTCCAGAATCATGCCGTGGAAGCGAGAAACGAGACTCGACGAATCGCCCACGGGCGAGAAGAACAACCGTGCTGTCGTTTACCGCCGCGACGGAGAAACCTAGAGACTTCCCGATTGCAAAGTGTTCTTTCATCGGCTATCAACGGGCCGGTCGTTAGCAAGACCGCGAAGAGGCGGTCATAATTGCGGTAAACGTGCATTTTACAGAGGAGACCGTTTTGTAGCGTCATTACTTAACAGTCGACTCCCGGCGGTGGTCATTTAGCATCGCGCGCGCGTTCGCTACCCATGATGCCGTTCGTCGTTTGCGTTGCGCGCGCAACAACCTTCCGCCGGCTACGGCGTCTTCCCGCCGACGGCAATTTAACATCATTTGCCAGATTTGTCCGTGTCTTGCTTCGTTATTTCGACGTTTTTTTTTCTTTCCAACCGGCACCGGCTTCGGTCGTCCTCCTCTGCCTCCGCGTCATTAACATCCCGGGCACCATTAATCTCGAGAACGAGCGCCGCGCAACACCAGCCTGAACTATATCTGCCCTCTCGGCGCGCGGCTCTCTGCACTTTCCGCGGTAACGCGTTATTAATTATCGTTAATCGCGATAAACTTAATCGAGTCTAGTTGAGTACACTCCAGAGACACAGGAGCGAACGAGAGAACGCCGGGGCTCGTGCACGTGTGCGTTTGCACGACCGAGCGAACGAAACTGAGAGAGAGAGAGAGAGAGAGAGAGAGAGAGAGAGAGAGAGAGAGAGAGAGAGAGAGAGAGAGAGAGAGAGAGAGAGAGAGAGAGAGAGTGACGGAACGCGCGAGTGAGCTACAGGAAGAGGGGAAGGAACGAAGGGTAGCAGAACGCGTGCAACACGCTCGAGAGCCAGGTACAGGTTCTTAATTTTACGGGCCATTAGCCCCGTAATTACACGGGCGAATTAATTGCGTCGTAAGTAAGTTATTCCACCCGAGGGAGAAGGGGGGGGGTGGAAGCGAGCCACCGTGCGGGGGGAGGGGGGAGCGGAGAAGAAGGAGAAACGCGGGAAGAGGGCAACAGAGGCGAAGAGGGCAGGAGGCAGAGGTTGTTAAGATCAACTGCTGCACCGGGAACAGGCAGCGACGATCAGCGGCACCGGCAGCAGCCCTTAGCAGTAGCGCACTCTGGACCAACTTCCGCGACTCATTATGGCTTGCACAACAAATTAACGTGGCGGGCCTCGACCCCCGTGCACCGGGCGTCCTTAACGTGGCGCTTGTTAATGAACTCGACAAAGAGAACGAGAAAAAGCACGCGATCTCCCTCGATTCGCCGCCGCCCCCACCTCCACCTCCACCTCCTCCTCCTCCTCTTCGTCCTCATCCACCTTCTCTTGCTTCGCCTCTTCGCTCCGCCTTGGCTCCGACACCCCACCGAGATGTACTCTGTACACGTCGTTTAAGCGAGTTAACAAGCGGCCTTTTGTTAGAGACCAGGCCTTTTTTACTGCCGCCGGTACTATTGCTCGAACAAGTCCGCGTGAGAGGGAAAGAGATCTTGTTAGGGGGGATAAATGATCGGGCCAAGGCGTGCCGGAGGTGTAGTAATTCAGCCCGACAAATTTTTATTGAGCGGACGAACGAGCACCCTGGAAATCGATAGGCCTCCCAGACTCTCGTGGAAGACGCGTTCGTGTACGGTTACGACGCGAATAGGCGGCGAGGAACCCGTAAACCACGTAATTGGTTCTACGGGGACCAGTGTTTCCCTAAAACTTTTCCGAGTGCGGTCCACTTGGACCGAGCACGCAACTCCGGCGCAACCAATAATCCTATAACCGTACCCTTATCGATAAGCAGAGGCAGAAGGGGTAAACGTAGGTTTAAACGTAAAACGAATTAATTACGCGACTTACAGTACACCTTTTTTTTCGAAATAAATTTAATCTCGATACGCTAACAGCATTATTATAATATTCGTCTAGATCTTCACTTCTGTTCCCCTGTTGCTGTTGTTACTGTTTGCGTAAATTTAACCATGTTGCTCCTTTGATCCAACGTTCTAGCTGGCTGAATACGCGACAGAGATGAATTCTTAGCCTCTGTTACCTTGGTCGCTACATCCTTGCCTCAAAGTGCCGGATTTAGCTATTTAATTTACCACCCACCGATCCTGACATACCGACAATTCTCAAATCACCAAGTTCTATCTAAATCTGTATATACTTGCACGCTGCGCTACTAAATTTCAAGCCTTCATCTTCCGTGTGTCTATCTATTAGTGTTATAAATCAGAAGCAACTGCTATCAACCATGCCTTTAAAATTACTTACAGAGACTCCTACACTCAAAAATTCCTAGAAAAGGCTTAACAATTGGCCTTGTAGACTCGACTACACCTCTAACAAGTTGACACCAAATCAAATATTATTTCTACATGTAGAGATTATGTTTGTTTCTTATCTGTAGTCTCCCAACTGTTAATTATAGTTGGTACATTCGGAGGAAATGTAGAGTGTATATTTGCCACCACAACCAAAGGCTACCATTAATAAACATCTCCTGTTTTTACACACCTTACCTTTCTTATCTTCATGGACCCTTGTTCTTGGTTTCTTCTTATTCTTAGGACAATAATATATTCGCTTAGCTTTTGGTAGAGGAGTTGTAGTATTCAACCAAGCCCCTTTCCAAATTTATCCATGCAGCCTTAACTGTAACAGCATCTTCACACTAAGGCGAATTTTTGCTAATGCTCGTCTATCTTCTCCTGGACCTGTTTCTTCGCCTATTACACATTCCCACAGTCCAGTAAATATAAAGTGCGTTTTTGCAGCATCACTCGAATTTTCCGTAGACATATTCTTATCGTCTTTATTCCGAATTAACTTATAGTCCAAAGAAAATAACAACGCAAAGCACAAAGAACCATTCAATATCGCGAAAGTTCACAGACACATGGTTTCATGGAACACTAAATTCCAACAGAAATATTGTACATAAAATAAGTACTTTATTTTTTAGCGCCCTGGGCTCATAACACTTTGTATTATGGCGAAGGATTCCTATTATTAATTAGGATTATAAGTATGGTGAAAAAGATATGAATACAGTGCGTGACCAGCAACACCATAGATGGCGTGTATGTCGTTTGGTGTGGCGGCAAATATAAACCCTCCGTGATTATAGCCTCGTGTAAAGAATTCCAAGTCCAATCTCGAGAAATAATTTTTTTTAGCTCCTTGTTGAAAGATAATGTTTCTTATATATGGGTGACGTGACAGTCGATGTGTTAAGAACTTAAATGGTGGGAATACCAATACCAATACCCGCCAAGAGAACATTCTGTTCCGTGGCGCAAGGGAAGCGTTATTATTATTATTTACGCACGATTAAAACGCGAAACGGTTGGAAAGGGATAAGGGTCTCCTGGCGGCATGCGCGCAACGGTCGCGATAATATTTACGGCGACGTTCGCGGTATCTAGTATCGTTTAGCGGCGAACAATGCGTTTAGCGCACGCTACGCGCAATAATAATGTCTCGTGGCCAACGAAATCTACATTCCACGGTAACAGAAATTATGAGACAGAACGTGTCTTAGGGAGTCGCGAGCGACCGTACTTCGTGCCGATAAATCTCCGAAGTCTCTCTCTCTTCGCGGCAACTTCCTCCGGCGGCGACCGTGTTGGCTCGTTCGCTTGATTAATCGTGTTTAAACTAGTCGCCTCCGCGCCAATTAAGACTGTACAACGGTACGCGCAAGAAGAGCAAGAAGGTACGGGTAGAGACACTCCCTCGTGTACGAGCAACTCGGAGAAAAACAGACCAGCCTCTGCACCCCCTTTATCCCCGGGCGCCAAAGGCAGAAGTACAGCCAACGGGCGCTGCCAACCACGCAAGGGACAACAATAAATTAGTATCGGCCCGATGCACGCCTCGAACAAGATACTGCATTTACTTACCGACTTGTTCGCGTACGTTTATACAATGTGTCGCGCTACGATTCGGCCTACGCGAATTTCGACGAAATTATCTGGCGATTCGTGGGCGGCGTATCGACGCCATTTTGGAATGAAGATGCACGCGTCGAGATACAGTCGAAAACTTAAGTTGGGAAATTATGGAACATCGACGGTACTTAAGAAAATACAAAATGGAGAACATATTGGTTGGAAACTAGCGTCGATAAGCCGATTCGGCGTCTCTTTGAAGCTTCGATCGCGAGCTGCCTATTCGCACGTGGAATCAAATTACCAACTACCGAACGCATGATCGATCCCGGGACCCACGCTGTTACTCGATCTTATGCACACGGTCTATCTCAATTCACTTTCCTTGTTAGACGCGACTTGCAAATACTGGTTTCGGCCTTGCTTTCGACGCAATATTAACGGGTTCGGAGTGGTTTTTGAACTGTTTCCGAGCAGCTCGTTTAAGTTCTACTAGCTCCAAAATGCCCTAGCAATTTTTTAACAATCTAGGATTGGCTACCATTTTTTTTTTCACGCATTTTTGATAATTAATAACTCGGACAAAAAGCTTCTGCTATTACATTTTCGTCTTATTTTGGCTCGTAGAGTAAAAAAGCTTATCGTCAATAGCTGAACACTTGGTACGTATCAATTAATGGAAATATATTAAAAGGTGCTCATAACTAATCGCGTTAACGGTATTTCTAATTAGTAATAAAATACTAACTAGTCTTGGACACGGATGGCTCTGCTCAGGCAGTCGGACATGGGCATCAGCAGTTGCGATCGACAATCGCTTTCAGATGTGCTAATGCCTTTTAGTGGTGCATGCAAATGCTTCTTAGATAGCTTTCGATTGGGATTTTGCTTGGAGGAAACCGCTTCGCTAAATTGATATTTATAAGACGAGTCCAATTACCTCTGTCGAAGCCAAACGCGTAATAAAACTCTCGCTATAAAAATACATTCATCGGAATGTGCGAACAGAAAAAATAATGTTGGAAATTTTTACAATCTACTAACGAGGTCTAATGTTTCGACAAAGCAAACTTTGCTAATAATATTATTATTCTCCTTTTCATTATTCGTGTTACATATTCAATAAAATTGTTTCAATGACACTTTTCTAATATGCGTCATTTTATATAAAAAAAAGGAATTCTTCATGGCAAGAAACTATTAATTTAATAGTTATTTACAAAAACATTTCACTACGCGGCGACTCACATTGAAAGCGAATAAAGAAAAAACAAATAATAATTAACAATTGGTATACAGCACAGTCTACTGCAATAACCGTATAAATAGTGGCGCTTATGACTTGGCGATATTTTCATTTACGCCATCTTATTGTTTATGGTAAACCATACATTGACATTTAACATTCATTTTCTGCGATCATTAGTTTCCGAGATGCTCAAGAAAATGTGTCTTTAACCCCCAACTTTGGGGGCGGAAAACCTCTTGTAACTCCGTTATCATTTATTAATATGTTATTTTTGAGTTCAAACTCGCAATCAACGACCACGTAAACCTTGCAACGCCAAGACTCATCCAAATCCAAGATACCTTTATACTTTAGTCACAATTTTCGGGGGCCGTCACTCCCCGTGCTCGCCGCCAGAGGGACCGTTCCTCTCGCAAGCACTCGATCGACTCCCAATATCCCGGGTGTCTAGAAAAAACGTTCTCCCTATCCTTTTCTCTCCGTCTGTTCCACAGGACCCCCCAAAATTTTATTGATGATCGCGATAAGAAAAAAAATACTGTAAACATAACACGAAAAAAAAATCGTGTGAAAAAAACGGAAGAAAGCGCACGGCTGGTGGTTTGGTCTTTGCGGAGCGAACGGGGGCGATTTTGCGAACGGTCGGGAACGATTGCCGCAATATCAGCGTCGATTAATTATGTCACCGGATCCACGATAAACTCTCCCTCCCGGTTCGCCCTTCTCGCGCACGCAGTCCAATTTCGCGAGGGTTAACTGACGGGAATTTACCATGAAAACACCCGGCAATAAATCCCCCCTTGCGTGCGGCGGAGCAACGCGGCTCGGATTTCCTCGCGGGACGCGCGCGTATCGGTATAATTAGACTGGTTTACGGCGGTCGATCGTCGGGGAAGCATTCAGGGTACAAGCCAACGAGGGCAACTGGCTGCATTATCCTTCAGCGTTGCTCGGTCCGCCGCCACGGGAGCTGTATTGCTTTGTCATTAGGTGTCCGAAGACGAGCGTTCGCGGTCGCCGGGCCAAATGGTCCGCGGCTGAATCGATGAGAACCGCTGCCCTCTTAGAGCCATTAGCTATGCACAGTAGGTGCGCAAGATAAATATACGGATACACAGAGGCGCGCACGGTCTGCGGCCGAGCGTGTACGTGAGGGCGAATATGCGAGGAGCGTGAGCGCGCGCGTAACAGGCCAATGTAAAGTCGGTGCGGCGAGGATGCAATTAATGCTAAGAAGCCGAGGTGGTTTAGCGGTCGAGCGAGCATGATTATCCTGGATAGGGAAAACGAGGGACCAAGAGACCGGAGGGAGCGACAGAGACACGCGAGAACGGAGAAAGGGAAACGGAGAGAGACTACGGCGAAGACGGGGAGAGAAGGGTACACGAGCTTAACCGGAATTAGTGTTACAGAATGGTGATTCCTTACCATCACGTAATGTCGTTGAATCTCGATCTTCTCCGTGGCCAGTTTCTCGCACTCGAGTTTCAAGCTGCGAACAGAGAGAAAAGAGAGGCACAGATTAAACGATGTTGGGCAGGGAGGATATCGTGGCAACGTTTCCCTTATCGTTCGTGCACGTAATGGTCGTGTGCTTACGCGATCCGCGCGGAGTACAGTTAGGGCGCGTTAAATTCGAGCTACCTTTACGACGAGTTTTACGCTCGCCAGCGTTAACGTTACGTTAATATTAATTATCGCCCCGGTTATGCATACACGTGAACGCGCATACACGCGAAACCGTGTTCGACGTGTCCCGAAGGTTTCGCGATCGAGCTCCGTGCATTAGAGTTATGCAAATGTTTTCAAGCGTTTCCACGGCAGATTTATTTATCGATACGGCGTACATTTTCGAGTCGAAACGTTTTTCAACGCTTTCCATCGACCTTTCCCACCGTGTAACAAACGACATTGCCTCCTTGCTTTCGATATTTTATCTGCATTAAAAAAAACATTATCATATTTTAAATAGTTAATATTTTCGAAAACAAATTTGAAATTTGAAGTGCTCCAGTTGGGTGACACACACTTTATACTGGGTGTTCGGCCACGCCTGGGAAAAATTTTAATGGGAGATTCTACAGGCCAAAATAAGACGAAAATCAAGAATACCAATTTGTTGATCGAGGCTTCGTTAAAAAGTTATTAACGCTTGAAGTTTCACCTGTAGAACGGCAATCTGCGAACAGCTGCGTGCGCGCACAGTCGGAACTTTAAATCTTAATAACCTTTTAACGAACCCTCGATCAACGAATTGGTATTCTTGATTTTCGTCTTATTTTGGCCTCTAGGATCTCCCACTAAAATTTTTCCGAGTTTTTCGACTTTCGAATATATCTGATAGGCGAATTATGGTATCTGTCGTGACAAGGTTTGACCACCACTGGTTTCCTTGCCCCACAAAGTCTAAAATCGTCGCTATTGGTTCCTTTTGGAAAAAGTATGCCTTGGAAACGATAGGACCAATCCAATTAGGTATCTGGTAACTCCTCGGGGCGTAGCGGGTAGACTATAATCCTCTTCAACTATTTTTACCGGGTAAAAGACACTTCCCTGTCGACTAAGGGCATCGTCCTCTTTCACATCTTTTTATTTTTCTTGTGTGACATGGACGGACACGTTTAGACTAATAAGGGTGTAATCCAACCTTTGTCGGCCTTTTCACTGCCAATGAAATCTATTTGCCTTTCTCTTTCATCCTCGCGTCTACTTTCTCGTTCTTAGGGTCTGGCAAGCGTGTGTCACGCTGCGTATCGTGTGCTTCTCTTTTGTCGTTCGACGAAACACGTTGCTTGACGCGAACGGTCTTTTGGACGCGTGCGTTAAGGCCTGTCGACAGCCACGACGGATAAGTTACTCGCGACGAGTCGAATTTCGTTCGCTAAACAATCGAAGTTAATATTTTTATCATCGATTCTTAATCATGCTCGTTCTTAATCAGACCTGTTTAATTTTATACCGGAATATGTACGTTTTAAATTTTTGTTCTAAAATCAATAGGGCTGTCGAGGATAAATCATCGTTCAAATGTAAATGAAATTTTTGAACGTACCAAGGTGGTCTAACTTCTTCATATGAAGTAATATCAACTAAATATTTACAATTTAACAAAGGAAACATTAAACAATTACATCAAGTATTCGATATACATATAAATACTACTGCTACTGCGTTTCAATAAGTATCAAGCACTCTTGCAAATCCCAGATTTAAATGTCTCGTCTGAAAATAGATTGACGTTAGTAACTCAGACGACTCCGGCTCGTCCTAGTCTACTCGTCGTTCTTATGTCTGTAATAACAACGTACATCCGCCGTAGACGCAGTGTGTATGATTTCACCTCGTCTCTAACCGGTTGGAAAATATCTCAAATAATCCGTCCAAATCACAATAGCGAACATATGTTAACCTCTTAAGCTCGATATCGATATACTGGCTGACGGGTTTGCCAGCTCTAAAATTTACCTTTGAGATACACGTGCTCTTAAAACAACAATAACAACATCGCCTTATTATCAAAATATTTTTACGCGGAACAAAATTAGGTCAAACTGCTCTCTTAACGCGTCGACTGCCAGTTTTTCCAGTGTAGGGATATCCTTGACATTTTTTCAAATTCTAAGAAATATTCAACGGTTTAATAGAGTACTATTAGAAGACGTTAATAACTTTTGTTTATATCTTTGAGTATCGTCAACAGTTTCGGAAATAATTTGGAGTACTACATATACAGGGTGTTCGGCCACCAATGGGAACAATTTTAATGGGAGATTTTAGATACCAAAATAAGACGAAAATCAAGATTACCAATTTGTTGAGGGAGGCTTCGTTAAAAAGTTATTAACGTTTAAAATTCCGCACGTACTGAATTTTTTTCTCGAAAATGCGCAAGATTTCGAGGGTATGTTTATTCACCAAAAATGATTGCAATTGAACCCCGCAACCGAAAATAATTTTTCCAGAATGATTTGAAAGTTTTCTTTTTCGTCGAAAAATTTAGGCACCTAATTAGATTTTCGGTAACGAATTTTTTTCTCGAAAGTGGATAAGATTTCGAAGGTATGTGTATTCACCAAAAATGATTGTAATTGATCCCCGCAACCAAAAATAATTTTTCCAGAACGATTTGTAATTTTTGAATTTAATTGTTAATAACTTTTTAACGAAGCCTCCATCAACAAATTGGTATTCTTGATTTTCGTCTTATTTTGGCCTCTAGAATCCCCCATTAAAATTTTTCCTAGGTGTGGCCGAACACCCTGCATAGATGCACGACCTATTACTCGACCTTTCTGTTACAAGTTAACATAAAAGAATAAAAAAGTCTGTTTCTTCGTTCGAGCCCTCCCAACATTAAAAATCAAACGAACAATGTTTTCGATTAAACAACTGAAACGCGTGGCATCGAGAGACCCTCGGACGTCTCGCAAAGTGCACAAGGAAACATCGCGTGATACTAGCATAGGGGTTGAACCCGAGCAAAAATACCGTGCTCGAACACGACGGGTATCCGTAGCACGAAGAAAACAGGCTTCGATGTCCCATCGACCACTTTAAAGTGCATATCGCGACTATTACTATCGTCTCCCGGTCTCTTATATTCCATCGACTGGGGAACCGCGCTGCGTGCGTCTGCCAACTTCAAAGAGCCAAAGGTAGGGTAGAGAGAAAAAAAAAAGGAAAAAAATAAAAGAAAGTACGGAACGGAACGGGACAGTAAAAGGAAAGAGCTTGAAACTTCCGACAGGAAACTTCCACGTAGGAACAATGAGAGTTTCGATCCGCGAAACGTTGAAAAATGCAGCACCAGCCAGCAGCCGGGGGCTTCCTTAATTCCGTATTCGCGATGGCTACAGCGCATGGGTATCATTACGCGTCTGCCAATAGCCACGTTGTCGTAAATCACTTATGGCTTTTGCAGATCGCGTGCAACCGTGGAAGCAGCTGCGCGAATTCCCAGGCTCTTTCGATTCGCGACGTGTACCTGTCCGTGGGACGTGTATGCAGCTACCGAGACAAAAGGAGAACCGAGGGAAGCCGCGACGAGGCGGTTGCAGGTGCCGCGTTCAATCGTTTTACGACTCTGCTCTTTTCGCTATACGGGCGATTTAATAAACTTATTCGGTACGGAGAGGGCCTTCGTTCGGATCTGCCACGGATGGCAGTCCTTTTATTTTCGTTTTATATATATAAACATTAATTCCCAAAGGGGACGTTCCGTAGCTCGTAAAAAGACCGACTCGATGGACGTCCAAGTTTTAAGGGCAACTGTTTTTATACTCCACTTCAGCGCCGACGAGGCCTCTTGCTGATAAACGTCCCGCACGTAAACGCTGCTTTCAACTCGAATCCCGTTTCATGTCGGATGCTCGACTTTCAACGTTTAACGCTTTCGAATTCGTCGATCCACACTTCGAACGCAAAACGACGAGACGTTAATTGGCAACTTAAGGGGTGGACGCCATCTTGTTCGGGACTCCGGCGTTTGAGGATTTTTTTTCTAATTTTGTTCTCGTATTTTTCGAGAATAATAATCGAGCGTCCCATTTTCTGCCAAAGTTGTCGGGGAAACGTTGCCAGTGAAATTAAAACGTGTCTGTTTTTACTTACGCGTGACATTGGTTCTGCAAAAAATTAAATTCTTCTTTGATCCTATCGCAAGACTCTCCGACTGTGAATTTAATCTGCTGTCCGGGCTGCGGTGGACCCTGAAATAAATTTAACGAAACCAATATTAGTGACGAACGTCGATAAGCTTGTTGTTTACGATCGAAAATACACCCATTCGGGTATTTAATCTTTCCACCGTCGAGGAAAGTTCAGCGAGCCCGTTAATGCGTTTTATAATGCATATCTGTTGTAACAAATTGCAACGTACTTCGTGAAAGGAACGACTGTAGCTGCTCGAGAGTTTCTAACCATGCTGTGCGTGATATCGCATTATAACGCAGCAGAATGTAAAACACGAACAAACTTTGCTATCTAAACTTTGTTCTATTAATCGTGGCGCACGTTACACGGAAACCACCGACGGAAGATTGTGCATCATTATATTTTTAGCCAATATACGTGTATTATCTCACCAATATACAGTAAAAACGGTTACACGTATGCTCGATGTGGCGGCGAGCGCTTAGACGCAGGAACTGCTGCTTGTTTTCATTCCGAAGATCGATTTTACTGAATTTATGCGCGGAAAACAGGGACGCGAGTCGACTATTCTCCACATGAATAAAATATCTCCTCGTGCGGGACTCCTCTCACCCACTCTTTTAGATATATTTCTGGTTTTGAATTATTACTTTCAAACATTGCGTGCGTACGTGGTGAATATTTATAGATCCATAGTGAGATGCGTACTATCGGAAAAACGATTGGAAATTCAAACAAATTTTTTGAACCCATTATGGATTTTTGACGGATAATAATATGGTGCTCGTATCGATAAAATAAATAAAGAGGAGAGGCAGAAATTTAATTTTAATCGCGAGAGACCTGATCTAATTTACTGACGTTTTACCATCGAACGTCGATACGGGTACAATATTAACGCGGAATGAATATAACAAGATTTTCTTCACGAATATGTGCATAAAACCAAAATCAAGAACCGCTTGAAAATTAGAAATCTGAATACTATCGTGTAACTTGTTTGCAACTTCACCAACAACTTCAGTAAAGACATTCGACAAGTTAAGTAGCCTTCGTTTTAAGGAGGCTTCGTTAAAAAGTTATTAACGTTTCAAATTCCGCACGTACTGAATTTTTTTCTCGAAACTGAGCAGGATTTCGGGGGCATGTCTATTCACAAAAAATTAGTGTAATTGACCTCCGCAACCGAAAATAATTTTTCCAGCACGATTTAAATCTTCTTTTTCGTCGAAAAATTTCACACCTTGTCGAATTTTTTTCTAGAAAGTGGATAGGAATTCGGAGGTATGTCTATTCACCAAAAATAATTGTAATTGACACCCGCAACCGAAAATAATTTTTCCAGAACGATTTGAAATTTTTTTTTCGTCGAAAAATTTAGGTACCTAATTAGATTTTCGGTAAGGAATTTTTTTCGCGAAAGTGCGTAGGATTTCGGCGATAATTGTAATTACCAAAAATGATTGTAATTGACCCCCGTAATCGAAAATAATTTTTTTAGAACGATTTGAAATTTTTTTTTCGTCGTAAAATTTCACACCTTGTCGAATTTTTTTCTAGAAAGTGGATAGGATTTCGAAGGTATGTCTATTCACCAAAAATAATTGTAATTGAGTCCCGCAACCGAAAATAATTTTTCAAGAACGATTTGAAATTTTTTTTTCGTCGAAAAATTTAGGTACCTAATTAGATTTTCGGTAAGGAATTTTTTTCTCGAAAGTGCGTAGGATTTCGGCGATAATTGTAATTACCAAAAATGATTGTAATTGACCCCCGTAATCGAAAATAATTTTTTTAGAACGATTTGAAATTTTTTTTTCGTCGTAAAATGTCACACCTTGTCGAATTTTTTTCTAGAAAGTGGATAGGATTTCGGAGATATGTGTATTCATAAAAAATGATTGTAATTGACTCCCGAAACCGAAAATAATTGTTAATAACTTTTTAACGAAGCCTCCATCAACAAATTGGTATTCTTGATTTTCGTCTTATTTTGGCCTCTAGAATCCCCCATTAAAATTTTTCCCAGGGGTGGCCAAACACCTTGTATATACTAAACGTATACTACAAAACCAAAACGGAGAGTGGAATTCGAGAAAATCGTGAATGATCATAAGAGAAAGGAGGTTACAGTACAATCGGAGGATGGATAAAGGTGCTAACTAACATTTCTCGAAACATTGAGACGTTCGGTGAGCGAAGGTGCTAAGAGCTAGGTCCAACTTATCATCGATCACTTATAACGATACTGTGTTTATTTTCGTAGATACCCGGACGAAGGCGATAAATTACATTGTCTGCATACATTTTAGAATAAGAAACTAAAGTTCGCGTTGAACAAACAACAAGGGCGAAAACTACCCTCGATCTTGTTCGAGCCAAAGAATGAATTACGGACCAAAACTTAGACGTTAAATATCTCTGTAAATAACGAGCATTGGCAAACAAGCTCGACAAGGAGTCCGGGGTTTCCTTTTGCTCTGGAATTACCCGAAACGATTTCGAACAAAATGGACGACTCCACAGGTGCGCGGGCATTCGTCGCAAGGAAGATCGCGATTACGTGCAGACCGTTAATTCGTCGTAATTTATCGGCCGTTCGATCGAAACAGTTGATGGATTTCGTCAAAATTTCACGGCTCGTCAACGGGCATCGATCGTGCTCGTTAAGAGGGTTTTCGAGCGTCTCGTCGAAAGGAAGATAGCGCGGTGCGCGAACGCGCGTCAAACCACGGCCGGCGTATAATTAATTTCGCACAGCTGTTCACCGTGCAGAAGCGGAATGGATGCAGGAAGTAATGCGTTAGCCGATTCGCGAGTAGAGGGGAATCGGACGGGCGTAGCGAAGAGGCCGAGGGAGGCGTTTGCATGACGCTCGAGCAGACGGTAAACGGTAAACGGTAAAAGACATCTAAACGCCATCGGCAATCGTGCACGCGCGGACGAGCGCACAATGCAACGCATAACGCAACGCGATAACAAGATTGCTGTTGGCAGGTGGAATTCCCCTCCCCTCCCCTCACCATTCCCTCTTCCGTCCTCGATCCTCCCCTCTCTGGAGGATTCCAAACGATTCAACTCGCGCGGAGAAATTTCTCGCTCGTTCGAGCGGTCGACGAATTCGCGTTGCGCGCTTCCGACAAGGAATCGCGTTAAGTGCTGTCTGATAAGCAACGAGACTGGTTCTCTGGAAATATCGACCGACGACTCAATTACGGATCAACGCAGCAGGTTGTACCGATCGTAAGAAGAGAAATTAGAGGAGATCTGGGCTAGAAGCTCCGGGGATTTGTTCCGACGATTGTATCTTCGAGATGAGAAAAGATAGCGTTGTGCTTTCAATTATTTTCAAAACATAAACTCATTGTCGAATATCCCAACCGTCTCATGATGTTACAAAAATCATCTCCAGTGACGACCGGATATGTCTAACGTTTCTTTCCTATTATCGCCATGGGTTCTACGAACTCATAGTGTTTATTATTACACATCTTTTGTCGTATTCAATTATTCAATTTCAATATCGTTCATTGTTCTGTCGTTACAAATCAAATAACATTTAAGAACGTGTTGTAATAGCATTTATTAGAATATTTGAATATACAAATATTTGTAAACATTGCCACATATGTAAATTGGAGCATGTTGTTATCGTAACAACTTACCCCAAATGTATCTTTTACAAATGTAAAAATAATTCCTGTTGCGTTTTAGCATGCAACATAATGCTACTGTAAAAAAAAGTGGCTTCTAATATGCCACTTAATTATAACCAATGCAACGATTACGCGTTATAAGTTGTATTCTCGCATTCTATACAGGGTGTTCGGCCACCCTTAGGAAAAATTTTAATAAGAGATTCTAGAAGCCAAAATAAGACGAAAATCAACAATATTAATTTCTTGATTGAGTCTTTGTTAAAAAGTTATTAAAAAATTAAATTGAAAAATTTCAAATCGATCTGGAAAAAATAGTTTCAGTTGCAGGGGTCAATTACAAGCATTTTTGGTCAAAAGACATACCCCCGAAATCCTACGCAGTTTCAAGAAAAAAATTGGAGTAGGTGTTGAAATTTTTGGGTGAAATTAAAAAATTTCAAATCGTTCTGGAAAAAATATTTTCAGTTGCAGGGGTCAATTACAAGCATTTTTGATAAAAAGACATACCCCCGAAATCCTACGCAGTTTCGAGAAAAAAATTCGAGTAGGCGTTGAAATTTTTCGGTGAAATAAAAAAATTTCCAATCGTTCTGGAAAAAATATTTTCAGTTGCAGGGGTCAATTACAAGCATTTTTGGTCAAAAGACATACCCCCGAAATCCTACATACTTTCGAGAAAAAAATTCGAATAGGTAGACAAATTTTTCGGCGAAAGAAAAAATTTCAAATCGATCTGAAAAAAATATTTCCAGTTGCAGGGGTCAATTACTAGCATTTTTGATAAAAAGACATACCCCCGAAATCCTGCGTACTTTCGAGAAAAAAATTCTGTACGGGCGGAACTTTAAACGTTAATAACTTCTTAACGAAGCCTCCATCAACAAATTGGTATTCTTGATTTTCGTCTTATTTTGGCCTCTAGAATCCACCATTAAAAATTTTCCCAGGGGCGCCCGAACACTCTGTATACTTACGCTAGTGTAAATATAATATAATATATAATATTATATTATATTATATGTAACTGAAGGTCATGCACGATTCACCGAAGTCGGGATGACCGTTCTGACGTTATCGGTGTGTTGATTAATAACGAAATAATAATTTAACTTGAAACCTGATTGCACAACACTTATGCAACTCGTAAGATCGCGAATTATCAACTCGAAACTACCACTGAAAGTAGAGTTGGGACGGATGCCTCATAGAATATTCTAGTTATCTAGTCACTTTTTAGACACGCCTCGCGTATCTCGAAGTTCATTCGGAAGCTAATTCGACGAAGAGTATCGACGTTAGAGGCTTTCGGTGTTAATGGATAGCCCGATGAATGGTTAAATCGGGCCGCGTATATTATGCACAGGAGATACGAATTCATTCGCGCTGGCTCCAATTCA